GGGGGGGGGGGGGGGGGGTCTACAGCGGCAGCAGCCAGAAACCAGGAGAAGCTGCCACCTGAGTTGCTTAGAAAGGTACAGTGCTCTCCTCTCTTACGGGGGGTGGGGTCTGTGTTTCAAACCCTGCATATGAGATCTAGGAGACTGAAGGCATGGTATGGCAAATTTGCCATGCATACAGGGCAGCTGCAGTCTCAAACATGCTGTGCTGCTCCACATGGGAGGCCTCCTAATCCAAAAGCAGTGCGTTCTGTATTTGTACACTACTTCAGGGAGGCTAATTAATGTACTCTCAATTACGCTTGCCCTGTGCCAATTGGCTTGCCCACAACACTGTGGATGTAGCTCCACGTCTAGATTAGGAGGCTGCCTATGTTGCAGAGTGCAGCATTTTACTGAAGCCAGGTAAAATAAGTTTGCTGTGTAGGCATGACTTGATGCTCAAGTAAGTCCCTGAACTGAAGTAGGGTCTTCCGCATTGCAGCCTAGTGCCCAGTCCACTAGGCTATTCTGGGATGGGCAGATCTTGCTCCCTCCCTTTCATCTAGACCAAAAAGAGGTCCATGATTAACTTAGTAGACACAAGGTACTTTTTGGGTTGAAACTGGTCTGGATATTCCTACAAAAAAGTTTCATTTTTGACATTTTCTGACGAAAAATATCTCACTGAAAAATTCCTGACCAGCTCTCCTCAGCAGCTTCTGCTTGCAGATCTCCAGAAATCTACCACTTGACTTGGAGAAAACTTCTATCAGCTACTGGTAATTATTAAAGTTTTATATCCTCTTTATAAAGCAGTAAATAGCAATGCGGTGGTTCTCAACATTTTTCAACTTGAGGTACTCCTTGATAGACTCAAGAAACCCGCTGGAAAATGACAGTGCTTAGTTTTCATGTTTTTGTTTAATATGAAAAAAATAACAAGTGCAATTCTTCTGTTGCAAAGAACTCAGGAGGCCCACAACAGGTCATAGTTTTTGACACTGTGGATTCCTATGTTAAATTTTTGGGTTTATCTTGTGAATTATATTTGCATACCTAACAGTGTTAACATTATGTGGCACCCTTGAAAGGATCTCAAAACACCCCAGGGTGCTGTGTTACCTTGGTTGAGAGTCACTGCCCCTGTGCAATATAATTAATCACAAACTCCATCCATAGAGCAGGGGGCAATGCTCTATATCGGGGTGGGCAAAATGCGGCCCAGGGGCCGGATGCTGCCCACCAGGCCATTCTATCCAGCCCATGGGACCCCTAAGAAATTGAGAATATTAGTATTTATCTGCCCCTGGCTGCCTGTCATGCGGCCCTCGATGGCTTGCCAAAACTCAGTAAGAGGCCCTCTGCCCAAAATAATTGCCAGCTTCTGCTCTATATGTACACTAACATGTGAGCTGTATACCACAGATATCAATAAGGGTGTGGCTCTTTTAGCAACTTTTTATTAAGCCACACATGGTGAGCAGTCATTTCAATGCACACATAAGAAAGGCATCTGTTTACAGTATATGACTACTAAATCCTATTTTCCAGCCTGCTCAGGACCACTTTGACAAAATGACTTTCACAGGCAGTTTAGCCAGCCTGCAAGACTCTCCCAGTATAAGGGGACCCTTGAGCATGAAGAATCTATGCTGCCTCTCTTGAGGCAAAGTGACAGCATAAAGGGTATATATAGTCTATATTCTCTTGTGCCTGGCTAATGAAATAGCTCTTTCAGGTTTTTGGTCAGAAGCAGAAATGGCAGAAACCTTTGGAAAGTCTAAGCCCTGATGCAACGGTTCAGTTGCATTCTCTTTCAGACCACACTATGGGAAAATCAGCCAGGAGCTACCCCTCTCCTGCCTGTCAATGCTGCCCCCAGCTGACCTAGGGGTAGGGGGAACTCTCAGTTCTCTCTAACATCCTCACAAGAACTTTTCTGTACTTCTTCAATACCTTTTTTTTGGATTTAAATGAGATGACCCTGAGGAAATACTTACCTCCCCCCCGCCATATACCTTAGATCTCTAAGCCTAGTTTCATACTAAAAAAAAGTCTTTACTTTTGTATAGATGTTCAGGTATTTAAACTAGAAAAAAAGGAAAGAAGTAAAGCCAATAAGGCACACTTACACTAAATACTTCACCCTGTAGAATACTCCATCTCCCACACCTTCTGGTGGTGACCAGTGCAGGACGTTCTTCATGTTAGTAGATTCAAAATGAATATTCGTAGGAGGAGGCAAAGAACAATACTGTTCTGCTGGAAAAAGGAATAAAAAAAGGGACCATGCATGCATTAAGGCCTGGAAGAGACATTTGCTGAAGAACAGTGGTACTTATTTTCTAAAGAAACCTCAAAATGTGTAAACACTAGTCATATTTGCCTTTACCAAAAGCAGAATGATATTGGACAGGAAACTTTGATTATTTCCTTTGGTATCTCATAGAAATTGTCCTACTGGATGAGACTGGAGGCCCAGTCCCATATCCCATCTCTGACAATGACTAATACCAGAAGTTCCAGAGGAAGATGCAGGAGCCCTGTAGTTGGCAGATATGGGATAATCTTTACCTTCCCTGAATTGGATTTCCCTCTGAAATTTAGTATTGGACTTAACTACTGAAGCATTTATTTCACTCAAAGTGCCACAAAAATTTAATGTTTGTAAAACTTCTGAAAACCACTGTAAAGCTCCACTTGTGGATGTTTGGTTCCCCAGGGACAACTAGTGGCAGCACACCTTGCTGGGCAGCTTTCGTATCCAGGGGTCAAAAAAACCTGCAGCACAGAGAACAACTGAACATGTGGTATGTGGTGCAACAGACATATCTGCGGCACCACATACTGCATGGCTGCACGTGTCTGGAAACAGCCTAAAAGTCATTTTTAAAACAGAGCTACAACTCATTTCAGTCATGGAAAAAATCAGGATGGAAAGAATGTGTCTACATCTATTTTCCCAAATAATATTAATTGCATATTATTTTAATTGACTGTGATATTTTGCAGCAAAACTATACTAACATTAAGCTTATGTGGAGGAAACAGGGAGGGGGTCCTTTGTGATGGCATATGTTTTTGGTTAAAAAAACAAACTTTGTTCTGAGTCATGCTATTGTTTACCATTGATACTCCTTACCGAAATACTGCAGTGGTTATTGCTGACATGCAAGTGTTCTGTAATATTACATCTCCTAAGATGCTACTGCTGTTATTCTAATAACATAACTGTACAATAACATAAAATAGGATGTTATTATCTTTAACGTTACCCACTGATGTTATGGTTTATTATAGCAGTGGTGCTCAATCTTTTAGTCCCATGGGCTCCATGAGTACTATTAAAGCTAGTGCATGGGCCAGATCCTTTTGCAGGGAGGGAGCTGGGCTCCACATGCCTGAATTGGGCCCTGCACTGCCTTGGCCTGGCCCCACGCATCCCAACTGGGCTGTGAGCTGCCTTGGCCCTGCATGCTCGATCTAGTTTTCAGGGCTGCAGGATCTAGTGCAGCAGGCTCCCCACAGGTCCTGGCAATAAGGAAGTGGCAATTAACACTCCCACCACTCCCCCACTGCCAAATTTTCATACCCATGGGGAGCCCAGCAGGATGGATGACACTGATCCATGGGGTGGATCTGGCACCTCAAGCTGGGGTTGAACACCCCTGGTTTCTACCTTGACATTACTTCAAAACACATCAAATCTGTGCAACACCATGGGCACCCATCTGTAATGCTATGGCCAAAAGTACTTAGGTGATAACTGGATATATAGCCAAGGGAATATTGAGTAGGACTAGGGACATTACCTCTGCATTTGACATCTTGGTAAGGGTTACCAAAACTACTGTGTCCAGTTCTGGAGTCCATAAACAGGACAGATGTTGCAGACTTGGAGAGGGTTCAAGGAAATTAAGAAAAAATCATGGATTGGGAAGATTTTTATTTAGTTTGTCAAAGAAAAAATTAAGGGGTGTCTTCACTACAGCTCAGAAGTACCTACAGAAAACAGAAAATTGACAATACAGGGCTCTTCAATCTGGCAAACCATGGTGTATAACTAGATTCAATGGCTGGAAGTTGAAGCTAGACAAATTCACACTAGAAATATGCCCTATCTCTTTTTAAAACAACTGTATGTTTACATTTTTTTTTTTTTTTAAACTTTCCAGGGGTTTTAGGGGAGTCTTTATCACTGGCTACTTTTGCGGACTAAATCTTTTTCTAAAAAAGACATGCTGTAGTTCAAGCACAATTTTTGGAATTGAAGACAGATCTAGTACAGGAAACTCTCATGGATGGTATTACACAATGAATTAGATGATATGATCACAATAGTTCCTCCTGGCCCTGTAATTAAAAAATTACATTCACTGCCTGGATGTACCTCAAGCTGACTTCAAAATCTAGTCCTATATATCTAACACTGTGTCATCTATATAACTGCTTGTTGTGTCAGGTTTTTTACATACATCTATTTTTGTAATATATTCTCATCTTATCCTTAAGAATGAAAAAGCAGTGAACAGGAGAAAAACTCATTCACTTTTTTTATGAACTGTTTTTCAGGCACTCTAGCAGAGTGGAATAATAAAAATAATAATAATAAAAAAATCATACACAGGTGTCTTAAGTCCACTTATGAACATAATACAAGAAAAATTGAGAAAAGGAAATCTGAGGTCAACCTGTATTTTTCAAAGCCCCAGAAGCTCCTATTCTAGTGGCATATTTGCAGTTCTTTAGCTGAGCAAAAAGAGAGAGAGGAATGAGGAAGTAAAACATAACATAATGAATACTAAGAATCTACCCACACAAGATGTCCTTACGTTTAAACTTGACCTTTTGCTACTTCCTTATGACTTTTAGGACTTATTTTTTAAAATTTCAGTAGCATTAAAATATATTAGAATGGCTTTAAGCCAAATATTAAAGCATTGCAAAATAATTTCTAAAATCAATCTGAGAATACTACATTGTTACACCTCTACTACGGTAGAGTCAAGGTATCATAGAGTCAAACATTGGCATAGGCAGCACCTGTAACTTCACTTTAATTCAGACTTTTGTGAAGAATATTTATATATGTTGTCCCTTTTAACTTGGCAGGTTGGCCAATATTTAAGATCTTTAAGATTCACTTCTAGCTCTTACCATTACTACTACTACTGCTATTATTATTATTATTATTAGTAGTAGTAGTAGTATCATCATCATCATCATCATGTTATAGCTCTTGCTCTATACATAAAGGTTCAGAGCAGCTGGAGAAGACACTGATAATTCAAGTCAGGTCAATTTCTCATGGCAAACCTATTTATTTACAAAGAAAGTATACAAAACATACACAACAGCAGGCAATTTCCTTTCTCATTATTTACTGCTGTCTCTTTAGTGAGCTCTGTACCTATATTAGCTGTCTTTCTGCTCCCTCTCAGGGTCAGGATCACAATCCTTTCCCACACTTTCCTCTCTTTAACATAGCAGTCGGCAACCTACAGCCCAGGAGCTGTATCCAGCCTGCAAAGATATTAGATTGGGTCCACAAAGGTCTGATCTATCCATGTTTTACTAACTCCTGACACCCTTCGGCCATCCCTGCTGTGTGCAGAGGGCCTGCTCTCTCGCCCTGCCACTGCAGTCTTTGCTTTCTGTCACCGCCAGTTTAGCCACTCCGAACTTTCACTTGCCACACTTTTCAGCACTATGTTTTTCAGCAGAGGCTGCACTGAGGTGGGGGTCAGGGGGCACTTCTCTACACAAGAGCAGGGACAGCTGTAAGGGAAGCTGGGTGCATCTGCACATGCAATTAATGCAGACCAATAAACTCTGGAGCTTATTGCTTTGTAGTTATTTGCTCCCAGGCACACCACTTGAACGTGCACCCAAAAGCAAAAAGCTCTGGAGCATATTGCTCCACAATTTATTTGTGCACACCACATGAAGCCTGGTTGGAGAAGTCTGGGCTGGCTGCTCCCCCAGTTCCACATGCTGCTCCATGGTTGTCTGGGTTCCCTGCTGGCTAGTCCTTCACTGTGAAGCACCCCATGCCCCAGCCAGTCAGGGCAGTGTCTAAATGTGCACTCCTGCACACAAAAAAATTCTGTAGCATGATAATACCTGTATTTTACAAGACTACCTTGCTGTGGTGTTAATTAGTTCTGTAAGCCCTAATAGCTGCACACATATAGATGATGATGCTTTACTCAGCAGCAAATTAATCTGTTGCACAGTAAAGCATCTCATGTAGACATGTGAGCTGGGTATCAGTTACCTGCAGCAGCAAGAGGATTACAAGCTGTAGCCCACCAGAAGCAAGATATTGCTGACCTCTGCCCTAACACATTCACACCACTTGTCAAGGAGCCCCATAGCCCCTGCATTTGCCAGTCCCAGAACAAACCTTCTTACTTTCCCTTGGTTGGTTTTTGCTCAGGTGTTGCTATGCAGCTGTTATCCTTGTGTAGCGGTCTCTGTTGCTTTCACATATCTCACTACATGAAAGAGCATTTAAGTGTTCTTTCCATTTAGCCTTAGGTTTAGCTGTAGTCACCTTTGGAATCTCATCTAGGTCAAAGAGCTATTATCACTTTCCTTCTCACCATTCCTTAACTGTAAGCTTGCTGAGTGAAGGATGAACTGGGATTTTTTCCCCCAGAAAGTAGCAAAAGAGGAGGAAGCAGGAAATAGCATGACTGAAGTATGGTCATGGATGGGTAGAGCTTGTTCAGAATAGTAAGGGGAACAAAGGAGAAGGTGTTGTCCTATACATAAAGGTGATGTACATGTGTTCTGAGGTACAGTACAAAGTGGAATGTAGGCCTGCTGAAACCTGGGTAAAGGTCAGAGGGCAGAGACACTGGGTGGGGAGGAGTGTCATGGTGAGTGTCTGCTACAGGCTACCAAACCAGGAGGTGAAAGAGGCCTTCTTTAGACAACTGGTGGAAGCTTCCAAATCATACCACTTCATTCTCGTGGGGGACTTTAATTATTGGGACATCTGCTGGGAGGAAAGCACTGCACCAGAAGTCCAGCAAATTTGTGGAGTGTGTTGGTGATAACTTTTTGATACAGATGGTAGACAGGACAATTAGGGGGAAACTCTTGATAGAGGTGCACTGATACATTGGCCCAATATTGGATTAGCACCGATATAAAGAAAATTAACTATATTGGAAATCAGCCTGAAGTGGCTGATAATTTGGCCTATAAATGCCCATGTGTGTGCACAGCCAGCGAGGAGCACAGATTGGCAGTGTGGAGAGCTGCATGCAGCTGGTAAGTCTGTTGTGGTGGAAGCCGGGGGGGGGGGGAAGGGGCATGGGCAGATCAATGCCCCCCCATGGTAAGGGAGTGAATGGAGCTGGGATAGGCACTGCCCGGCCGGGGCGGAGTGGGATGAAGCTGCGGCTCGTCTGGGGGGGGCAGAGGGGAGCAGCTCATCTGCTCATCTGGCAGCTCCTGCTGCTGTTTCCGCCGCTCATCTGGGAGGGCATGGGGGGGCATGTGCCCCTGGATCTGCGTGGGATGGGCCAAGTGGGCTGCAGCTGCAGGCTGGGGCCAGGAGTCACGCTGTGCTTGGGGCGGGCAGTGGCAGCACTGGGAGGGGGCTACAAGCAGGGGCTTGGGTGCCTGCAGCCTCCCCCCATATCCCCTCTCCCA